TTTTCATTGACAGGTGTGTCAGACAGTTGCTCTGACCTGTGGTGGCTAGCGAAGTGGAGTTGTCACCCTACTTAACACTCGCTGGAATCATTTGAAAATACTGTATGTATACAAAAAACCAAAAGTAATTTTCTGCATTTGATATCTGATGAAGAGTTTCAGACAACAGTGTGCACAGCACCAACCCCTCAGCAGGGAAACCGATTTTACAGCACCCTACTGCTGTGTAAAAAATACTCCTTGTATCGTTGGCTGCAATGTCAGCAGACACAACAGTTACTCCTCTGTTGCATTTCTGACAAAGTAGCCGCACAACAAGTGTTTGCTGCACTATCAAACTGCACTTGCTGTTAACCAAAGGTGTCACAGATCAGGGAGAGAAATCTTAAGTTTAATGGTAGATTAAGATTTTACACATTCTTTCATAATTAAGGTTATAATGGGACAAAATGTGGTGTGTCTAAACAATACTACCCCCCACCCTGCTGCCTACAGCCCTTCTGTTGTTATTCCTGCTTCTTTACCTTACCTTAAAAGTTCGAAGCAGCGGCTGCCAGACCAAAGAGGTCACGTTCTTTTGCACAGACAGTGGGACAAAAAGCAGAAACAAGGGTTAAAAACAGTTTGGCTTTTTGAGATGGAGAAAGTTAAAAGCAGCCAAAAGACTCAAATTTAAGTTTAGCTTTGTCTACCATTAGTGCTTTGTTATCCCTGTTTGGTACTGTCTCATCAACCTTGCCACTTGACACTGTGCCACTGTGACGCTGCCGTAGAGCCGGGACTCGTTAGTCAGCTCATGATAGCTTCCGACTGATGGCTGCGTTTTATACAGTTTGTTCCAACCAGGCATTTGTAATTTACACTGCTGCTAAGAAACAAGACATCAGTTTGTTTTGGGTCTAACTAAACCCTCTAACAGCTGAAAAGAAATTAGCTAATGCACCCAAATCTCTACTTTGTTGCCTAAATTTGATTGTTTTTTGATTGGAAACAACTGCCTGGTTGCAAGTGGCTCAGCCAAATTTAGGGTGACATAACAGACGTTATGTGTTTGTGTTTCCAAATAAATGTGTCCAATGAATTTGTTACGTGTGTGTGTGTGTGTGTGTGTGTGTGCTCATGTGATTTTATGTATGATGAGCCTTGTTGTTTTTGTACACAGGCAGTGTGAATGCAAGTAAAACAAATTTAAAAATGGAACAAGCAAATATTTTCTTCAGTGGTTTGGATCAAAGAAAACGAGCTGTAGATATAGTGGAAGCTCTGCTGCTTCTCCTGCAGGCTAAGAGACTGAAAGAATACTTAGGGATGCAGCTTCAACTCCACCTGATTTTCTTGCCTGTTTGAACATGAGGACAGAAACTGAGCTTCAAATGGAGCTAGAGCTGGAGTGATGCCTCACAGATAACTACCTCCAGCTCTGTCATTTTCTCTTCCGCAGCCTCTCTTTGCTTGTTTTTACAGCCTGTGCCACTGTGCCTAGACTCAGTAGCTGGAACTCTTTTTTTCTGCTCTGACACTCAGCAATCAGATGTGACACGCTGATGGCTCAGATGACAGATGGGAAGACAAGGTCACACAGTCACCTACTTCTAACAGAAGATATGCACAGGTCCTTTTGACTTGCACTGCGCACAAACACACAATTAAGCACTGTATACACACTTGTGTGCGTACGCACACCTTCACTTACCCACACACACTTGTACACACATACATAGTCACAAAGTGGAGCTGGAGTATTTTGCAGACAGGGCCTTTTCTTGTGCCCATGATCTCAGGCACAATAACCTATTAAAATGTCATTTTTCCCATCTCAGAATGTTTAAAAAAATTAAAACTATGGGGAGGTAATTAAGCCTGCAAATGGTGACATGAGTTGTGACTACAAAGTATGGCATATATACAGTGAGTGTGTGAGTGAAGCTGTGTTTTAACTTAATAAAACTAAGTGTTGCCCATGTAAATCACTCTAGGGCGATGCCCGAAATGACAGTTATAGACTTAAGAAGTACAACATGGGTCTGGAGGAATATTCCCAAGACTAACCGATTAAATATCATGACTAACTTTGTTGGATTGTGCCATATGTGTAGTTAACAATGAGATTAGCTGCTACTTTGTCAATTAGACTTAAACTCTCATGACCTTGTTTCTAGTGTTACAAACTATGTTGAAAGTCACCCCGAATTTCATGTAATAGCTCAGTATATGTTTTGATTATTTCATGACCATCCAAACAAGAACCACACAAACAAGTGTTCTTTAATGTAGAACCTATGACAAATACAAAGCTTGTCCTTTAGAGCTTCAAATGCCATCAGTCTGGGTTTTACCACTAAGATCATTTGTACCATTCGCTCTCTCCTCCTCCACTTTCTCCATTACACCCGTCTTTGTCTTTTCAGCTCTTTGATGCTGAAAATGAAGGAACAAGGAATCATACAGTCTCTGGGTTTTGAGATACATAAACGTCTGCCAGCCAGACCGGCTGGGGATTTTGTGGGTTGTCTGGTTTCAAAGCAACCTAAGTTTCCATTTGTGAAATGCAGCAGGTTGCTGACATAACAAACACAAACCTCAGGGTTTTGTATTTCTAAACAATTCTGCAGATCTCTCACTTTTGTGGTGCATGTGATAAGACACAGCAGGGCACATAGACGTTTGCTTGCTGTTCTAAGTGAAATAATTAAAATACTTGTAATCAGTGGTGGACAAATAGTATTCTGGGACTGACAAGGTACAAAGGGATTTTCTCCTCCTATGTGAGCAGTAGAGGCCTGCCAGTCCACATTCACTGACACTAGTAATAAGGGAATCTGGCCATAAAACTACAATCAATATGTTGTTTGTGCTAAAGATATATTTTCCAAGGACAGTCCTGCACTACATGTACACACATTCCCTTTGTGAGCACCAGCATGTGCACTCTTTTAGCCTGAGCACTTAGTAGTACATTGCAGTTGCCACTCTGTCCACTCTTCTTCTCTCCTTCCCTCATCTGTCTTGTGCATTCACAGCATCAATCTTAATGAAAAATCATCTTGCCCTTTATGGTCTATTTTTCTTCCAGTAATCACTTAAAACAAGAATAACATGTCCTTATCTGGCAAATCCATACCTAATTCCACTCCTTCCCTCTGCCCTTGTGATAAATCTCTTGCTGATGGTGGCATTGTACAAACCAATCAGGTGACTGCACCAGGTCACAGAGGTTAATAGCATTCCTCATGATTACCCACAAGCCCAAGGATCAGAGGCATCAGGTTCCATATTCTAAATAGTTTCACAAAAGTGTCCTCCTGGCCACCAGGTGACCACTCTCCCGCTATCTCATCTCCCCCACAGTGAGGGGGAGAAAAAAGACTGATTACAACACACACCTGTTTTTGAGACTGACACCCATCCCCTCTGAAACCAAGCCACTGTAATAAATGCAATCATCTTTTCCCTCTTTCCGCGGACTGTGTTCTCATGATGATGTTGAGGTGTGTAGGCAGTGTAGTGCTTCATGTTGAGTAGGGCTGTCACCTTGTCAGTAGAGCTGCTGTAGGATTTATATCATTCTCACAAATAGCAGTAGTTACTCAACAGGCCCCCTCCACACCCCCCTCCATCACCACCACTTCCTTCTTGTACACTTTTTATAGCAATGAACACTGCTCCAAAATCCCCTAATTTCTTGCCAGATCACTGGTGATGATTTGAGATGTAAAATTTGTAAACATCAAACTGTGAACTGCAAGAAAAATGTTGGAGATTTGGGAATGCTGTTGACATGATTACAAAATATCAGGGTTCATGTCTATAAACAGCAAGAATTAGCAAAAACAAAATACCTTTTTACTCTTGTGTACTCGTTTTTTCTCAACCCGAGGAAAAGCAAACCCTCAATGTCGTCAAAATTCTTATTGCCCATTTACCTGCATTAAAAAAAAAAAATCACATCCAAAAATAAATACTATTGTAGATGTTTTCACTTTTCTCAAAAAATAGATCTTCATAACTCAAATCCAGATCAAAAATGTGGTTTCATCACATAGATGAAACTGGACTAGGTGCCATTCCTGTATAGCTTCATAGTAACACAAGAATAAGGGAGAGTCAGTCATCTAACACAACAAAAGTGAAGACAGTCACGTTGTCTCAGATATATTTTATGGTGAAATTCAAGTTCTGCTTTTTGTTCTGTCACAAAAAATATACAGTGCACCTCGGATGCAAATCTGAGGGATTCTGCATTCTGTGTACCCACTGTTTCCATGTGTGTATGATGTGTCTGTGTACTGTATGCTCAGGTCTGTGCATGTTTGACTGTGTGTGTGCACACGCATTCCACTGTTTGATCTTTGGTGCAAGAACCACAAAGAAGCTTGGGACTGTAGCAGCCCACAAGACACAACAGAAATAGATGACTGTGTATTCTACCACCACCACCCTTCAAACTCCCCCCAAATCCCCCCACAAACAAACACACTACCACCACTTCTTCATCAACACACACACCTCCCTCTTTCTCTATCTCATGCAGGCATGTACCAAAATAAAAACAGCGAATGAAGCTACAGAGAAAGCAGGCAGGTCTTCTCTTTTTAGCTCGTTATGAAATGGATTGATATCTGGCCGGTATGAGATCAAACAAATCCCGGTGCTGTCATTTGAAACTAAATAGAACTGAGCCTGCAGGGATGTGTATGTGTATTCTCTCGCTGCACATACTCTGCCTTTGTAGATGTTCTGACTATGCACCATTAACTAGATATGAGCTTGGTGAGTCCAGCTGGTATAACTGACTTGATCTGAAACCCTCACATCCTTTTATCACTCCAAATGCCTACATAAAAACCCTGTGACACCAGCCTGGACAAATTCAAGTCACCTTAAATAAGCAGCTTTTTTTGCTGACACACACCACACTTCCATATGCTGTTATATGCACAGTTCACAACAGCCAGTAATGAGCTGTCCAGAACTCCCAGAATTAAAAAAATAAAACTCACGAAGGTTTGTGGGCCTGGAAACATAGTGCTGCGAATGCATCCCAAGGGCCTCCTCTCCACGATACTGCTCACCTGGACACCCACCCTGCAGCACACTGGCAACGGCCCTGTCAGACAAACAGAGAGAAGAGAAGGGAGAGCGACAGAGAGGCGGTGATGGATGAGGGGTGCAGACATGAGGAACTGTGCATAATTTAATTATTCAGTTGGGCTGCACTGCTGCACAGCATTTTCATGAAACTGCGAGGTGCAACTAAGTGGGAAAAAATGTCCCCGGTGAATGGGAAGGAAAATGGTTTCATCTGTCCTGCATTTCACCGCAGTCAACGCACATGCACCCATGACTGTCACATTACACCATGAAGGTGTAGCGTTTTCACTGGTCTCCATTCAGACAGATACACAATGGAGCGGAATGTCGCCTTGCTCTATAGTGAAAGAAGCCGCCCCCGCTTGATGGGAGAAGAGTAGCTCACGTAAGGTTATTACGGTGGATAAAGTGGAGTGGAGAAAGCATGCAGTATCCACTAGTCTCAATACACAAGATGACTTAAGTTCTGGTTGCCCAGAAACCACAGTCAGGATGTGAAGTATAACATCCATAACAAGCAAGTTTTACTGTAGTTTTATAATGTTATAGTGATATTCTGTTTGTACCGCCTACTTTTGTCATGCACAAGGACAGGCGAAAAAACAAACGACACATTGCGCGCTCCATATCCGTGTGTGCGGAGGATACTATTGCAAGTCTCCTTGTAAACAAGCGCAGAGAAGCAGGCAGAGAGGGGGGGAGGGAGAGAGAGAGAGAGAGAGAGAGATGACAAAAAGAGGGAGGGCGGATGGGAGAGAGAAAGAAAGGAAGACAGAGAGTCAGAGACTCACCTGGACATGTTCTCTCTCTGGGGTCTGTGCGCCTTTTCCAGCCCCAGCTTGGTGAAAATCCCCACAAGAGCCATAATGGCCACTACTCCACATATGATGTAAACAATTACGTTCGTTTTGTATTTGGTGCTGTCGTGCAGCTTGTTCATTTTGTTGTAGGGAGTCTGTCCGGTCTTCATCCACACCGGAGTGTCATAATTTTTACAGGTGCTCTGGTCCAGACGCGACTCCTTGTAGGAGCAGCAGAAGCGGAAGCCACAGGTGCCGCAGCAGTACAAATAATTGCCCGTTTTACAGATGAACGGCGGGTCCCACTGGCCCATTACGTCGTAGTAACCCCGACATTTATCCTCCGTGTGCGGTGTCTCCTCGGACACGCTTTCCGTATCTCTGGAACCGTTAGAGGTGGCGATCACTACGAATCCTCCGAGCAGTCCTGGCTCCCCATCAGCCTTGCACACTAGAGCCATAAGTTTGAGCAACAAGAAGCAGAGCAGAAAGTATTTCCCTCTCATTGTGGTTTCTCCGTTCAACTTCAGGCGGAAACGAAAAGATTTGGAGAGAGGAAAAAGGGCGCAAGGTCATGATATGCAGACAAGTCCAAAAACATACATCCAAATAGCAACGCGCCGTTGAGCGTCTTTACAAACATATCATCATCCAAAAAATGCACAGAATAAAAAAAAAAACTCTCCGTTGGATGAACTTGACTCAGTCTAACTAACTGCTCTCTAATGTGCGCTGTCTGCTGCGCATACGTCTTCCCAGAAAGGCATTTGCAGGCTCAGGTTTCGCGTTTTTAGGACTGCATCACTTTACATAGCCATCGGTGCGCTCTTACGCACAGGAGTAGGCAGAGATAGTAGGCTGCAAGCCGCACCGAGGATGAGAGCGCAGTGAACGAATAGAAGAGCCGAGGGTGGGAGAGCCTGGTGCGCAAAAGGAAAGGAGGAGGAAAACAGAGAGAGGGAAGGAGGGAGACTACCACGGCTGAGGACGGAGGACGGAGGGGGGGGGGGGCTTTGTTGTAAAATATTATGATTAAAGCCCCAGAATACGCAAATCACTATTCTGTTTTGCCATCGAGAAAAGGCGTGGGAGCCTTTTCACTATTCTCCACTTTACGCATTTTAGTCATATGTTGCCATTGTTTTTGAAAACCTAAGATCACACATCACATGTGGTACAGTGGGCAGCGGCACAGATTCAAAAAGCAGGAGATATACGTTTTGAAAAAAAGGGGCTTTGGCCATAGGACATCATGCCAACTAGATCCAAGGGGACTATCTAGAAAATAGGGTTTCTTAAGTAATAATGCTGTTGAATATCCAGTCTTTATCCTGACCTAGAAGCCATATTTTTAAAAACTTGAAGCAACCGACATAGTGCCTGAAAGATTTTTAAAGATGGAAAGGTGAAGAGGTTCAAGGTTCAAGGATTTTTTTGTCATTGCACCATATGTGCAGGACATACAGAAGATCGAAATACCGTTTCTCTCTCACCTAGTATTGGGTGCTATAACATTTAGGAACTAAAATATAATAAAATAGAATAGAATAGAATAGAAGAGCTTCCGCCCCAAGCGGTTTCCAATTGAAAAACATCTTATAATTAAAGGTATTTCCAAACCAACTGTGCTTTTTTCCGCAGCTGTTTGTATAGGATTGAATGTCACTTTCGGCTTTTTCCGCTTAGGGGTCGCCACAGCGAATCGCCACACTGAATAGTCACACTGAGACTCGCATGTTGACATTTGGCACATGTTTTACGCCGGATGCTCTTCCTGACGCAAACCTGATTCCAACCCGGGCGCAGCGGCGAGAGCGCTGCGCTGTATAGGATTTCGAATCCAAAACCTATAGCTAGGCCAAAGCACTCTTTTATACTTAAACCTCAATTTAATTATATTGAGTTGAGCTGATTTGAAAAAAAAAAAGCCACAAAATCTAAGACCAATCTAAGACAACTAAAGGATTTCAAAGTTATTTGAAGCACAACCACCAAGAAATCCTCATTCAGTGTTAAAAACAGACTTGTGTAGAGCTCTGTTTCCCCTCTCGAGAAAAAATAGGATGAATGGATGCTGAATATAGGACGACCTCTCTCCGTGGTGCCTCTGTCCAAGGTTCTGAACCTTTGGGGGAACAAAAAGCTGTGGGCGATCACAGGACAACACAAACAAATGCAAAATCACTTGGTTTACACGTTACCTTTGTAAAGGTCTAACCTATCACTGAAATCTGTCTATGCTTAGTAAACACCTAGTTAATATTGTCATTTTTGTGTGTGAATAAAATGATAGAATTTGATTCGTTACTCACTTTTCAGATCAAAAATTCGAACTGGAGGCTAATTTACTAAAGGCATGTAGCCATTTTCAAACATACAGTATATTGTATAGACTTCATTAAAACAGTAAACGTTAAATCTGGTTTGCTGCTCTGAGGTTAAATTAGAGTGAATATATAAATATATAGTGTAATAGTAAAACCTGTATACTGCTGCCACACTGGGTGACGCTGAAGGGAAAGCCATTCACAGACCGAAACAGGCAATGCAATCGATTATCGAGTCGCCGAGGTTGGCTAGCCGCGGGGAATGCTGGGCTGACACAACAGCTTCATAACAAACCTGTTCAGAGGTTCGCTGAAAATCTAACAAGTGACAAATTAGTTGACTCGGGCAAGTCTTTAACCAAGGGATCTTATGGCTGAGAGTGAGAATATCTTTCTCAGGGCAAAACATCGGACATTCAGCGGACTGACTGAGGGTAACCTTCGCCAACTGTTTTAGCTTCTTTAGTTAAGCTACTGTAGCTCCACCTGCTAGTTAAGGCATTAACCAGTCAACACTCTATCGTCGCAGTTTTACAAGATGTTGGTTAGTGATTTGACATAGCAAACGCTGTCAGCTGCTGTAGAGCTTTAATAACCGGCTCAGCGCTGTCATCCATAGTCAGGCTAGGTAAGTTAGCTAACTAGCTTGCATTTACAAAATTAGAGTTGTGCTGTGTTCCAGCAACTTGGCTAATGAATCAGTGCTGCCGATCAGTACTGCTTGCTACTTTAGTAGTACTTTACTTGTTGTTGTTGTTTCAAAAGTGCTTTACAAATAATAGAGTATGGGAAATTGTTTTTATATATATTTACTGTGAAATGATTACTGATTGAACTAATGACATCACATTAAAAACACATTTGTGTTACAACCCAAGTCTTGAACTGAAACCTCCAATTTATTGTTAATGTACAGCCACATTTAACAGCATTCCTCAGGTGGGGACAGACTGTAGCACGACTTGAAGTTTTGTCTTTGTGGATGAAATTAAGTTGAGTAAATTAGCTTTAGAGGCTTCAGTACTCAAATGTGTACTCATTCAAGCATTGAAAACATAATCACACTGATGTGCTACATCATGTACTCATCAATTGTCTGCCTTAATATCTGTTTACAGCTATGATTTACTATAAAATAATATTATCAGGAAACTCGAGGGACCGAGTTGAAAAATTCAGCATTTTATTATTTGCTGCAGAGCAATCCCCCATACATTCAGCTCAAATGATGATTAGTTTGGTTTGAAGCACATGACCTGCCACCTGAGAAATCTCTGCGATTTATGTCAGAAGTCGTGCTTGCTCAGTGCAACCGCACAAGGCTGCTGTCTGTTGTCTCCCGTCAAGGGAGCTTTGCCAGCTCCTTGTCTTTTTATTGGTTTTCATTTGGCTGTGAAATAGTTCACACATCTGACTCCAGAGAGAGAAAGGCATTGTACTGGTGTGCTCAGTGTAACGAAAAAGAAAAGCTTCCAGCTTTGTGAAATCTTTCCAGATTGTTTCTGCTGTTAGGGGCAGAAAGAAAATGGCTCATAACTCAAGAGCACGACCAACAGGGTGTACATACACATTTAGATGGAGTCTGTGTTGTGCACATTTGTGTGCCTGGCATGTTTGAATACATTCCTTTGCAAAGAAGAGAAGGCCATATTGTTTGGTAATGATGGAAACACAATGAAGCTGAGTCAGTTTAGATTATATTCTGCTGAGCTGTGAGATATCATGACATGCTTTTGAACATTTTTGATCTGATCTAGTCTTCATTCTCTCAAAAAGTATATTCTGATGGACTGCTGAGATCAGATGTGGACTACACCAGGGAAGGAAACTTAACTTGATACTACCGTAGTCATGGAAGCTGTTTAAATTACAAAATTCCTCAGCGATCCTTACTGTCAGTAGCAGAATTCATTAGCATGTAGTCAAAAATTAAGATCAAGGCCAGGCTAGTTTGGACTGAAGGCTTTCTACAGTAATGTGGTGGAAAAAATGAAAGTCATAAAAGTTGAATGTTTCCCCTTGTGACTTCATAAATGTCAGTTACACCGACAGGATCATTGTTAAGCTTTCACTTGTCTAGTTCCCAGGAGCAAGGCATTATGTCGCTCTTTCTTTTCTTATCTTTGCTCAAGTTTCTCTAGAGGACAGAATTATCATAAACTCATTTGGTGAGAGAGAGATACATGGAGAGCATGTTAAACACAGAGAATGCTGAACAGCTAGTAGCCCCCGCTGAGTGCATGTGAGGGGTTTGTACAGAATACAGATGCAGACTCTTCACAGTGAACTACAGTACTGTTGCTTCCACATCTTCTGGAACCTAAATGAGTGGACCAGAAAGCTGCTGTTTACACCTGCTCTTAGCATCTGTCCATTTGTGAGCAACAAGGGGAGTCCATTTCCATATCACTTTGCCAGGCTTTCTCCTATGTCCTTCATGTCATATACAGTGTCATTACCAAGCCACGTTGAGTGTCTGCTTCTGTTCTTTACACAGAAAGCCAGACACAGTTTGCATTGTTAATGAATATTTGATAGTGATTAGATTGTGGGGCTCTTTTGTTGCATAGTATCAGGATTATGTAAAACATGTATTTGCCATTCATTCTTCAATATGTAGCTGTTATTTATTTAGTTTTAATTTAGATATTTGAATTAGATAATTATGGAGTGAGCACGAACTTTAAACATACATCAGCCCCGATCTTCAATTCCCAGTCCTAAATCCTGACTACAGCGCTTTGAACTGATCGAATGTTGATTCAAAGAATGAACTGAAGCTTTCACAGTAGGCCTTATATCCCCCAAATAACTAATTCTTTGATGACATCTCATCCTTAAAGCATTTATGTGCCTGCTTGTTACTGTGTGCAGTGTTGTGTGGAAGCATCCTGTGACCTAAGCATATTCAAATGAAAATGTTCTGATGCTGCCAGATTGTGAAGTTAATGCCCGGCAGATAAATCTAAAGGTCACATGCTAATGAAAGTTGTGCCCAAGAACAATTGTAAATTTGAGCAAAGGTAACTGAGCATTTGCATATTGCATTAAGAGGTAAGGGGACATTTTTCTAAAAAATCATATTTTTAAGGCTGTTCGTGTATGAATAGTCATGAATAGTAACTTTAGTTTTTTTTTATTATTGCACTGTGGCCTTGATAACCAGAGTGCTCGTCTCTGTCAACATAGCTGCTTAGTCCATGTTTGTCTTTTTTTGTCCCAGATGCAGAGTGTAAGTGGACAGGACCATTTTGCTTCATCCAGGCTGCAGACCCCCAGCTTGGGCTGATGAAGGCCTGGAGGGACGGGGACTGCGACAGTGGAGGGGATGAATGGGCCGAAGAGGTTGAGCTCACTAAGCAGGCCGTGGAGGCTGTTAACCAGCTCACGCCCAGGCCCAGGTTTATGGTGCTATGTGGAGACTTAGTCCATGCAATGCCAGGTAAGAACACACACTGCTTGAAATCCACTTTAAAACAGCTGCATGGAAAGTGTTACAGCTGTCATCTCTCTTCAAAATAAAGTTCTTCACCTAGTAAAGAGTTTCATGACAATTGTTGCCATATTTAAAGAATAAATATGGTTATAGCTTTCCACAGGTGTTAAGTAGGTGTCCTGAAGCCATGTTTGAAATACATTGTTTTTCATGCTAAACGTTACAATACTTTGAACCTCTCTGAGTGATACATACATGCAGAGTTCTAAGAGCTGTAAAGAAACTAAAGCAAATGCTTTCTGTTCAAAACAAGCCACAGCAGTGACAAGAGCTTCCCAACAGACACACCAACCGTATGGACAGTAAAAACAAGATATTGGCTTCAACCAGTGAAGCTGCCAATTATCTGCCTAATGTTGGAGGACATAATGTGAACTCACAGATGCCAGTTGCATGAGCTTTAACTCTGCTCACCCTCTTTTAATCAGACCAAATGATACAGCAGTGGCCCCGTGAGTGTTTTCTCATGGCATCTGCTACTTCATACAGGCTCATGCAAGTGCTGCACCTATTTTGAAATGGCTCTCCCAAATTACAGATAACGGCAAACTATTTACAAACACAAGCTGTGATTTCAGGATTTCAGGCACCATGCACAGTTTCAGTCAACTTGTTTTATGCCTTGGTGTAATCATCACTCCAAAGTTGCACACTGACAGATTTTGCACCCACAGCAGACCTCTGATATCAGAGGAAAGGTGTGAGCAGAGCTAGAAATGATCAGCAACCACCATCCAGGTGCTGTTAAAAGACGAACTCTTCATTCAGGTTATCGGTCATCAAGCAAAGTCATTATTTCATATCTTTTTTGGTTAAATAAAGCAACAGGTGATGTGTGGACAGGAAACACATGCATTTTTGCTTAATGGTGCAAACTGTTCTTATATCCACAGTACACGTTCATAGAGTACCGTAGTAGTGAGTACTAAACCCCATAACTGAGTCAGCATTTTTGCACTTCTGGTTCTCTTGTCCTAGAGTCCATGGGATTTTTGGTTAGACACCTGCAGTGAGGTCTGTGTTTAACACAAGGCCCATACAGTTTCACGTTTTATTCTGTGACATAAAATAGACTAGTAAATACCCCACTAGTGGTCTTTTTTAAGCTTTTACGTGCCTTAAAAAAGTGGTTGCTAATAAGTGTTTAAATGAGACTATAGAGGTTGTTGGGGATCATCACGCCAAATACAGAGACTCATCTCCTCACTAGTCCAAATTTACAGCTACTCTGTATTTAAACCATGAAACTTGTGCACTTTGCAAACTGGTCTAACTAACTGACACGGCCATCATCATTAGCTAGATCAGGTCACACTAAGACCAAAGGATTTTGCAGAAGGGGTAAGCGCCAGAAGTCAAATTACAAGTTGGAAGCTGTGGTGGTAACGATGAAGTCATGTGACTGTGGTGTAGTTCATTTCTAGTCTTAACAATAGCTTTTTACTTCTGGTGATTGTGATTGGGCTTCAGACATCATGAAAGTGGTGTTTGCTGGTGAAGATTATCTTGCTGAACAAAACATATAAGTGTCATAAAGCTTTGTTTGTCATAGAGCTTATTTTCTGTAATAATCCAAAAGCCTATGGAAAAAAAATCTCATTGGCTTTTTGTCAAGGGAACCAGGGTGATGCCAACTTCTGGGTTGGCCTACAAAAATACGTCATCCCTGCAGCGCTATATATGATTAACTTTAGGTTCACTACTTATCAGTGGTTGTGTTATGAGTAAGAAATAAGATAATAAAAACTGTTTGGATCAGGTGAAACTGAGATTTCATTGTAGGATCAGGCAGGATAAGTTTGATGGAAACTGTTGCTTCTGCTTAATGATTTTTTACTTGACAGTGGCCCTCATGTCCTTTGCAAGCAAAAGCGTTATTTAAACATATTACTGGATTTATAATTAAATATCCAGTATCCATGATACATCAGGCATTGTCTTGACCTTTCAGCCTTGTGTTATTTTGCAGTGTGTACACATCAGACTGATCAGAAGTCAAAAAAGCCTGACTCTACTCTCTCCATTTCCACTGTGGAGTTTTGTTTCTAACCTGCCCAGCATGTCAGAAAAGCTGCCCTGGAAGGGGCTATTATACCACTGTCGAATATATTTTTCATAATAGTAAAATGTGACAAGAATGTTTCTGACTGAGACCATTAAACTTTCATATGTTTTCTGTCATATAGGACTCCATATAAACATGCAGTGCACTTGCACTACATTCACATTTACAGTCCTTAATGCTCATTTCAGATTTTTTTATTTTTGTCAGAGCCGATCATCTGTTTATGTTTCACATTCATGTTTGTGACATGTATCCAGCTCCGATCTGAACACCACTGTGCTCTTAACCTGCCACAGATTTAACTGACTGTGAACCACATGCGCACAGTAACAACAACAGTGGCGTCATTTGTGCAACAGTCAGATCCTACAGTTTCCTCACAAAATACTCAATTACAATATATTCCCTCCATCTTGGCGTGATCAGATATTTCTCCGTATATATAAGTGAAACGTCGTCCTATCTCTGCCGACCCCTGTTGCTGTTGTTACTCTTTTCTGTTAATATTTTTACCGGTCTGTAAAAGGCTGACAATGATGAAGAAAGACAATATGTGCATGTGCACATAGGAGTGAGAGGCTAAAAAAACACAAGAATGCTGATCTGACCATTCTGACAGAGGGGTCACATGGTCAGAGATTGGATACGAATCAGATTGAGGCCACTTGCACAAAGTCTCGAGATGCACCGATCGGTGGAGATCAGAAATGGCCAGTTTTCAGTGACCGGTGACTGATTTCAATGCCTCCTACAATTAAATTTTTCATTAAAGAAAAGTTACAGAAATGTCTATGCTGTCAGTTACAGTTCTTAGAAAGAAAATTGGCCAAGAAATCAGAATTGGCCAATTGCATCTCTACCATATGTACTCCTCCTATGACAGCAACAGATATTTATCTATGAAAAGCACAGCCTTCTGGCTATTCTGAATGCTACTGGCAAAGTGGTGTGCTGTTGATCAGACCAGTCAGATTTTAAATTCTCTTTGAATTCTGAAAGTCTAGAAAACAGCAGCTAGTGTGTTCTGTGTGCAGCTGGCAGGTAAAAAAAAAATTAGTTCTCTGCCATGTTCATAGAGTCTACTTTGTAAACATCAGACCCATGACAGCATGCAGTGTTTATCTATAAAAATGCACCTGCTGCCTTCAAGCTATTTGCATGAAGACAAGTTTGTGCTTTGTTGAAATCGTTCAGCAGATGAATACTGGCTGCAGGTGTAGAATATGATGCCTTTTTGTTCAACTAATATCTAACAGTAGTGCATTCTGATTTATCTCCATCGCTCTTACTCAGTGTGTTAGACATATTAGTGCTCTCATAGCCAGGACAGCAAGCTGTCATCTTCTGCCACAGTGGCAGCTGGTTTCCCCAGTTCACCAGATGCTTTCACTGTCTAGCCAGACAAATAGAATTTTTTGGAATAGAACTGGCCTCAAACATAGTTGGATACCTTTATAAATTGCTGGCAGAATAAGTGAAATAATCATTTTGCTGCTAATTTCCCACCTTGTTTGGAGCTGACACGCTGTGCTTGACTCATGCTGTGTTCACTTGTGCTTTCTTCTGTCTCTGTGCGTCTTTGTTTTAGCACTGATGAGAGACATGATCATTAATACCAACCTGTACACATAAACCAACCACTTCCACTTATAAAGACTCTTTAAAACTGTAAACAGCATTCATGCTTTTCTTTATAGAAGACCTTGACTGTGTAGATTGGCAGGCATTAGCAGCAAGTGAGTCACTATTTGATAACAGGGTAAGAGGAACGGGTTAGCAGGACCCACTGCAGAGTTAATGTTCAGCAGAAAGAGCCGCAAGCCATCAACTAAGGCAACCTACCTTTGCATGACAATTGGGGAGCTAGCACGAGGCGCCTGCTTGGCTGCTTGGCCTCAAGGAATGGGGAAAAAAGAAGTTGACAGGTGGACCTGTTTCCCTCTCCACCCCTTCATACATCTTTTTTACATGTTTGATTGGCTCACGATGTGAGCATCACTGGGCTTGATCCTGAATTGAAAACTATGTAAGATATTAAACCGAAACTGAATATTTTGTTATTTTTGGTGCAGTATTGTATATTTAGAATGGTCTTGGCCCCAGTTTCCAAAATGTTACTCAAGGCAGACTATTCATATGCAACAGATTTGGCTTAGCTTAATCACAGAGCAGCTCTCACTTCCCTCTTCTGTTTTTGGGGTCATAACAACCACTGCCATATTCAGCTGCACAGGGACAGTCATGAACCCTCCTGGAGCTGTCTCTCCCCATCATCCATGAGTCTTGCTGTAGGCGTCCAAGTATCCCTATCGTTTCCATGACTGCGCCATTTAGACCAAAACATGGCCACCATCTATTTCCCACATATCTCCTCATCTCCCTCTGATAAGTTGCATGTGTAAGTCACAGTGATATCTATTTCAGATGCACAGTGGGACAGTAGATAGTGTTAAGCATGGGGTTTAACCACGAGGCCTTGGGGATCTTTAAACGCTGTAGCGTCAGCCCTTGTTACTGTCAGCCCCAGCAAAGCAGGTTGTGCATGCCATCCTCATTATTGGCCGTATCCGTCACTTGCCTGGCAACTGAGTCGCTGCATCGGGGGGGAGGAGGGAAGTGATATTATAGCCAGAGCTGTTCCTTCCATCTAGCAGCTGACATTTCCCCTTGAACTGTTGGTTATTTACAATACGGAATGAATGGGTGGCGGCCAGGAAAAGCTAGCTGTCAACCGGCATTGTCAACACTGCTGCCTGTCGACGACAGGAAATTGGCAACTGTATTTCTGTTCCCACAGATCTCACTCTCTATCTCTTGTCACTTTAACTTTATCTTTTCCTTTGTTTCTTTCCTCTGTCGTCTGTCTGCTCTCTTTAGTAAACAGCTATGATCTCATGCCTCATACCTTATTTTGACAACCTTCAGTTGCGAGTCTGACACCGTACACAAACACTTACTTATTCTTGCCTCTGATTAATCTGTTTGAGACATCTATATAAAACAATTGTGATGCTGAGGAACCAGTTTGGCCTTGTAACGTTTCTAGAACGATCATGAAAATAAAGTGGGATCAAAGAGTTTGTCAGTATAGCCTTTTTAAGTTTTAAATCTTAATTCAAAGGCAGGGAAACTCAAGGCCAACCAGAGATCATTTTCTATATTAGTAGTATTTTCAACACTCCCCATACAGAGACTAAAACCAGCAATGAATTGCCAATAGCACAGTTAATGTCTGTAAATCTCTCACCAGGATCAGCTTATTTGTCTGTGCCACAGACCTCCAGTGTTGTTCAAAAGTGATTAAAAGCACATCATTGAAACACACTGCTGCACTGGGTGACATGTTTCTTCATTACAAAGCACAAGACCTGAGCATTTGTTAAAATGTTGCCCCAACGGCTCCAAACAACCGTAAGGTTTTACAGCATCTGAAATAAGCAAAGTCAACTGCGCAACTGAGCCAGTAATGCTGGCCAGCGTTTGCTTCCACAGAATTGTGTCATCCAGACCTTTACAGACAGAAAGTTCCTTGATCTCAATTCCCTGTCTGCAATCCAAGCTAGCTCCCAGGAGATGCTTTCTCAGCTCAAGGACTTCCTTCAGTCTCGCCACTTATTTGCTCCCAATCTCTCACCTCTTTTCAAAGCTGACAAATGAAGAGGATAAAGAGCAGGGAGGGAGGCTGTGGCAGAGGAAAGAGGTGGGGGGAAGATGGGGTGCTGATTAGATTAGAGAAACATGCTGGACTTAATACTCTCCTAATGAGCACTACAAAGGATTCAAGCTGTGTCTCTGGGGGTTCATGATGGATGCTGTGCATGATACAGCAGGGAGAAGTGTTCGAGAGTGTGTGCACATCTGCGTGTGAAAACTATCTTAAGTCATGTTTCCTTGAGAAGTGCTGGGCAGTCATCCTGACCTTTACAGCCAGAAGGTGTGTGTAAAACTCACAAAGGTGAAGTAGAGCCTGCCTTGGGACATCCCCGTCCCGTCTCTATAACTGTGGAAACCTGTTTCATTTCTGCTGAAGGCAGATAAAATCGAGGTCTCCGTGAGATTCTGAGAGTGTAAAGGGTCGAACGGCCTATGGAGAATTTGTTTTATGGAACCTGCGGATGCATTTTGGACGTATTTGTAACCAGTGCAACTTGTTAATGCTGATACGAGCTCGAGATACACACAGATAGAGGTCCCCACTCTGTTTATGTAAAGAGCATGCATGCAACAAAAAGACCCCACACACACCAAGGCCCATGTACAGTCGCGACAACCATTGAGGGGAGTGCTTACGGTGCTGGACAGGCTCAACCAGAATCTGCCAAAGTCTCCTGTCAAGGCTTGAGAATAGCGTTGCAGTCTCATTAAATGAACAAGGCTTTGAGTCGGAGCTCCAGAGAGAGCAGAGTAGTGGTGTTTTGTTTTGTTTTTTTTTTAATTTCCATATACCCTGCTCTTTACATATATTGCACATTCCAAAAGACAAAATCAGGGCGAGTCTTGTCTATTTTTCCCCTTCTCTTAGTTAATCAGACTGCAGGCTTTCTTTCCACACACCAGGACATTAGAAAATGAATGAATGAATGTTTAACTTGACACTCCATGTCATCCTAATGGGGTTATGCCTATAACCACTTCCCAGTAATCTGAAGCAAGGTGTCTCAATTGCAGGTTGGTGCAGCATAGTATGGTTCAGGATTGGTCTGTAGTGCAGATGGATGATTCACAGATACGCCAGGTTAGCAGATGGGTGTCACTGAGGGCAGGCAGCTGGAAGTGTAAGGAAGCAGAAGGCGGCGCAGCATCCCTGCCACTGATGTTTTTCAGATTTATTTAAAATAGAGAAGGTATGGTTACATGTGGTTGTTGAGTCCCAGCCCCACACTCAGTCACATTTACACTTGGGTGGTGATATGCATAAAATATTTTTTCCTGTTCTTAGCCACTGAGCAGCTGACAAGGTCAGGTACCTTGCTAATGGGCACACTGATGAGGAGAAGGTTTCTCTTTCTCTTCTAGAATTACCACGCTTGTGGAATACTTGAAGAAACTGACCATATTGAAGTGAAAACAAAAATTACTTGTGAATAAATGGATAAAATCTATTAAACTCCAGTTGTGTATAACAGCAGAGTTAGTTGCTCTCAGATGGAAACATTAGGTGAATCCCAGTTCCCTTATTTTATTGTTCCTGGTCCTCAATTCTCGCTCGACCCAGAAGGCGCTCCGGTCCTGCCATGATGAGGGACATCCCAAGGCTCTTGTCGCTCTTGGGGAGCGAGAACTGAGCAGCAAGGAGGTTGCCTGGAGGAGCTGTAACAGAGGATACACAAGTGTATCCTTCGCATGGATTGGTATGCCCCTTTATTGGAAGTCAGTTTGTGATTGGATGCTTCATTTGAAGGATCATAGGAGAGGACGTCTCGTCAATTAACATGTTTCCTCAATTGCTTGGTTCCTCTCTCCTTGCAGCTTGTCCTTGCATCATTTCCTTGTATTCTACATGAGCAGGATTAAGGCACAAGGAAAATATGCAAGTGAGGGAGACATGGATGCAATTAGAGGAATTGGGATTCACCTGTTTCCTCAGCATTTCAAATGACAACCTTTGTGTCCTCTGTTGTCCACCCTAGCTTCATTAGTGTTTGTAACAGTGGCAGCTAATCCACATTGTTGCGGCTTCAACTATCACCTTTTTCATCACTGCTCTACTTCAGACCACCAGACCATTGTTTTCTTTAATCTCCAATACGCATTAGCTGCTGGAAACCAGTCCATGGACAACTTATGTATTTACCGGTAATCAATAGTAACACTGTAAATTCATAAGTAATGTAACTAATACAACTAAATTATCTTCAATAAATCTTTATCCCCACTTAAAACAACTTCATTTTGGCTTTACAATAACAATGTAGTTTGTTTGAGGGAGTCAGACTTGAAATTCATGACTTTCGGTGCCAGTTTTTACTTTTCCTGGCACAGAATTAGTTTCCTACAAAGAAATTACAGAAATTAATTTTTGGCAAATGTTATGTAGTAATAATTTTATACAACTTTCAATTTTATTTGCGATTACCGAGTTTATTTTAAAACTTAAATACTGTAATATGTCCATCATAGCGCACGTTTTGTCTGTACAGCTATCCTCAAAGAGATTCATTTTATTGCAGAAGACTAAAAGCAGTGATTATAAATGTGTGAAGCCTGAATAGAGGCTGTAAACTGTGAATTTTTAGCATTTTATGCTTTAAAAGAAAGGTTTAAGAATCTGTTGATAATCTGTCGCCATAATTAAATAATTTTCTCTCAACTGACTAATAGTTTCAGCTGTAATTACAAAATAATTTATGCAAAACCTAGGACAAAATGCATCTTCATGTCTAATGCCCGGCATTTTGCTTTAAAAAAAAAAACTTTAGTTAGTGGTTAGTGTATTATGCTGTTGCATAAATGTACTAGTGCATTTACAAGTTCACCGTTTTATAGCAATCAAATTGTTCTTGTTGAAATATTGCCTCGGCTACATGAGGAAGTTAATAACCACTTATTCTTCAGACCCAAGTATAAATGCTTTAAACGCACATCGTCCTCCTACGTAAGGAATCCTATCCAAACATCCAAGGAAAGTTTTGCTAAGAAAGTAGGTCAGTAAGAGAATTACTCAGATGAATAAAGGAATAAGAGAGAGGAGAGGAGGGGGATTGAAGGATAACTCAAGAGCAGGAGCTGATAGGTTTGTTCGGTATACATTCTGAACTATAAATGGATTTGAGTCTCACCTTTTCTCTGCCCTTTACCCCTGCTGGGACTGTATTCATTTGACATTTCCCTCCTTTTTGTGAACACCTGACTTAATTTCATACTAATTCTGAGTTTAACACAACACATAATTGAGCACATTGGGAACATTTTGTAATACTAATAGCCTCATGTGTCTTGGAGTGGTGAATCTGACAGAAGCTGTGGTCTGCACACAGCTCAGCCGAACGGCTGGGTTTGCCGTGCAGACTGGTGAGGCTTCCACCAAACACTACTTCCTCACGTCAGTAACCATGGTGACATAAAGTGGAGCTGTACAGAGCAGTGATCATTCTCTGAGGTGTCATCATTATCATACAAATAATCCCCATTCCCCCAGGCCACTCTCACCTGCAGTACCCTTCACCCTCTCAATCTGACACTTTTCATCAACATTCATATACATTTCTCTGAGTCATTTTTATCTTGCCCAAGGAAGTTATTGTTATCAGGCATCAGTATTTCGTTCTGATGTCCATAACTGCTGCCTTATTTGTCACAAGCACATGGGTCGGTCTTTCATATTATGACAATTAGCCCCTCACACCCTTCTCCCCCAGACACGCCATTCAGAGAAGATCAGGAGCGAGACTTAAAGGCAGCCTTGAAGGGGACGGATCCCTCCATTCCACTGCTATTTGTCAGTGGGAACCATGACCTGGGCAACACCCCTACCGCCAATACAGTGGAGCAGTACTGCAGTTCATGGGGGGATGACTACTTCAGCTTCTGGGTAGGCTGCCTACTGTAATGAGGCTTTTAGTGGTAGCAGTAGTAAAGGAAAAACTTTTTTTGTTTTGATTGCATTTTATCTGCAGCATATGTTATTTATTTTTAAAGGAGTAATCCAACTATTCAGTATTTTACTTCAGTCAGATTTTCTGTTCAGAATTTAGGTTTTTGCAGCAGTAAAAATTGCAAGTATTAGTCCAGGAATTGAAAAATAGTTGCATGAATAGGCATTAGAAAATACACAATAACAATAGTTTGAAAATGATAGGTTTTGGTAACTAATATCTACCTCATCTGTATTCTCCTGTTTGTGTTGTCCCAGGTGGGTGGAGTCTTCTTCCTGGTTCTGAACTCTCAGCTCTTCTTTGACGCCTCAGCCTGTCCTGAGCTGAAGGAGGCCCAGGAGACGTGGCTGGAGGAGCAGCTGAGCAGGGCCTGCTCTTCAACTGTAGGATAGCATCAGTGACATGATTTTATTCCCGTCTGATTTATGAAGATGTTCAGCTAGACATTGTCTTCCTTTGCTGTACCTGAACCTTGTGGTTTAGATGATTGCTGCTGTTTGAACTACTTCTTGACACAGCAAATTCATTTTGTCTTTAGAGATCGGTGATAGATCGGTGATGTTCTCATGCCTCCTATCTGTCTCTACTCAGGAACCCAAACCCAAACACGTACTGGTGTTCCAGCACATTCCTCTGTACCTAAAGAGCCCTGATGAGGAGGACAACTACTTCAACCTGCAGAGGGGAGTCAGACAAAATCTGATGGACAGGTTTAAGAAGGCAGGTAGGAGAGCAGGACACACACAATAAGCTTGTTATACCTTTATCTCTAGTTACTTTGTCTTTATCTGTTGTAGCTCACAGTGACTGAGCAAGGGCACTTCAACACGACATATCATTGGTCTGTTCTGATCTACTTCATAGTTTGTTTCCAGTTTACTGTTTGTTTGCCTACAATTAAAAGTCACTGAAGAGAGAAACAGGAATTTAATTGTTTCTCATCCAGGACCCTAACATATCTGCAGTATTTTCTCAGATAATGGCTTTAGTCCACTGTGAAGTGGTTTTAAATTTCTTGTCTTAATGCTTCATAGCTAATATTTCTGTTACACCAGTTAATTTATAGCATTTCTAACTGAAGAACAGTTAACATCCCAGCCCAGAGGATTAATATGCCCTTAGCCAAAAACACTGGGGGAACCTCTGGCACACACAAATTACATTCATAATTGAATTAATTAAAGCATTTGCTTCCAATAAGAAGACTAATTCCATAATCAGAATCCATAGTTGTTAGTGTACAAGTGTGATACAAGGGCGCTGGGAGCCACTGACAAAGACGATAAATCTTTAAGAAGGCAGTAGCTAAATACACACATTCAAACATATATGTGATGTTGTCTAGCTAGCTCAGCCAATCAACAGGACATCTCAGCCATGCGTCCAGGTGACTGGTGAAGGATGGTATTAATTTCATTGCCATGTTGGCCCAGTTTGTCCTGATGACATTTACCTCTCATAACTGATTGCGTCTCTAATTCCCAATTTCCACTGTGTGCGACTGCGTTCAGTCTCCAAAGAATCCCAGACTTGGTGCTAGTACCACAGGGACACTAGAGAAAAAGTAACCTACTGAGACACATTTGGTGGGGGATGAAGCCTCACAGAGACGCTAAGATGTTAAACAATGCAGCCGCATCTGGCGTAAATGAGGGGTAAGCGAACGCTGGTTGCAGGAAGGAAGGGTGTTACTCTGTGTAGAACCTGCTATGCACAAGTGTCCTTTCTCAGCCACCCTGTTGTTCACGCACATCATGTCAGCAGTTATAAATTCAAACAACATACAGGGCAGTACTGTATGAACCACAAATGTACACGGGTGTAATCGATGACTGTAACTCTGCATATATTGCAAGACCTTCTCATATTTCTTAGCGTATACTTTTAGGTCTGTGTGTGTAACTGCAATACATGATACTGCTGAGTACAACCAGAGCAGGGAGGTGACTTCTGAATTATTGTAAAGTTACCCTTCATTTTGGGGTATTTATGAAGATTCTTAGTCATTCAGATCATTGGAAATTTAGAAGTAGTAAGAAGAAGCCCAGGTTCCATAAGACAATGTCAAAAAAGCTATGAAATTTTGCATTGCAGCGTTGTCGTTGTTAGTAGTTCTTTATAAGTCTGCTTCAGGGTATGAATTCAAACTAAAATCTCCTGACCTGACAAACAACAGTGCTCGTATAAGAAGAATAAAACCAGTTACTGCTGAATAATACAGCCTTTGTCTCCTAGTTTCTCCTCTCGTTCACCCTCTTCGGCTCTCTTCTTCATCTCCTGCTAGAAGTGTCTCTGTGACCGATGTAACATTTCTGAGCCTACATGTTTGTTTAGCAACTAATCGTAAATAACAAAATGGGCTTGAGGACTAGGAAAAGATAACTTTGGATACTTTGGAAACTTTACAACATATTTAAACAAAAGGGTTGGCTATTTTTACATAACACACCCACATCTCAATAAAGAAGATACATTGGTGTAAAAACATGAAACAAAGATGTACTTGTCTAGTTTTTATTGACATATTAGCTGAAAAATTAAGGACCTGTATGGCCTTGTATGAAGTAGGAGTTACCTGCATAAAATAGGCGGAGACTGCCAGCTTTTTAGAGAAAACATTTACAGCGAATGAGAAATAGCAGAAAAGTAGGATATGCTGCTTACTGTAATAGTATTTGAAGTAAAAAAGGGAATGTGCGTTATTTGTCTTCCTGTCTGTGCAGTGAGGGGCTGTGTTTCCTCTCATCCATGGTAAATTCCATCTCTTCTAGCCATACAGTGGCTATGGTAATTCAGACATTTCCTCACGGCTGCACCCTGAAGCCTCCAGATGTGCTCCTGTACTCGTGATTACAGTAAAAGGCAGCATCATTAACTCCCCCCCCCCACACACAC